ATATATATATATATATATATATATATATATATATATATATATATATATGTATATATATAGTTTAATAAATTGTACTATAGTTAACTGAAGTTTTAATTACAATATTTATTACAATACCTACAGAATACTTTATTAAACTATGTACGTTACAATTGTACATACATACATTGAAGAAACATTTGGTTGGATTAAACAAATTTCTAGTGAAATATAAACGAACCAAATAATTTCGATTGAAGTTACCAGAATCCTATTCAAGTTAATATTGTTAATTTAAATAGAATTCTAGTAGCTTCAACCAGGATTTTTGGTTTATTCATATTTCATCGAAAGAATTTGTGATTAATTTAACCAAATTTTTTTCCCATGTAAAAAACTCGTATAGTTATCATTCATATAATTGCTATCATATTCTCTCTGAGTACGAGCGATAATTTAAAGGTGAAATTTTATTAAAATATGTTGAAATAAAACCGCGCAAACATTAAATAATTGAAAAATAATTAAAATAATATTAAAAATAGAGAAGTTAAAAAAAAATTAAATAATTCTTGAACGAGTGCTTCTTCGTGCTTCTTCAATATGGAGAAAATGGCAGTGAACGAGCATTAGCAGCATCAAGGTAAGCTTGCATGCATCTGGAAATTCTTCATTGACTCTTCATGTTCGAAGGAATTTGCAGCGTCAATGTAGAATCAAAATTTCGACTCGGGAAAACGCTCTCAACGAATCTTTTTTCAAGTCTTCACATGGAGAAAATGGTAACAATATTGCCATTTGTATTATATATTATTATATACAAAATTTTGCTCCTACTTTCGACTTTAATATATTCCATTTACTTTGATACCTTGGAATCTATGTCAATATTTTTATTTATTTAATCTACTAATTTTACGCCAAAAAGTCTATTTTTGAACCCATAAATGAATCTACCATTTTGCTCAAGATTTCAGAATCTGCTAAGTAGAATTTTAGTTAGTTATTGAACATATACTGATTTTTCAGAATAGAAGTTGAGAAGCTCAGGTCGAGAAAGTAGGATTGAAATTTCGGGTATAAAAATATATTTTAGTAAATTTTTTGTTGAAAAACAGTCGTCAGTTTTCAAGTGAAGAGCAAATTCGGTCAAACCCATACAAATAATAGAATGACCTCTCATAACTCTTAATCTGTGAATCGCAAGCGCAACGCCGTTGTTGCTTTATAAGAAACTATACTTCTTTGCATGTCGTGGGTGTGCAAAATGCAGAGCGGTGTGTGTTTGCATTGAAAAGCAGGTTACCTGTGAGCGAAATCGGCAGCGCGCGGGTGTTATATATTTTATTTCGTTCGACATTGCCCGCTATGTATCTGTGTGTACGCGCACATGGCTTTTTAAAACAAAGACACCGTCTATTGTGATTTATGCTGCGGCTTCCGCGCTCCTTTCTGATACCAGGGAGTTACGTGAATAATCTATCATGTAATCGCCCGGGCGAAAGTAAAACAAATGGCACTGCTTTCGGAAAGCTTTTAGCCCGGGAAAACCTGCTGAGGCTTTTACTTCTGTTTCAAGAACAGCGTAGCGCGCGCGACGCGGGCTACGTTTTTTATTTATCAATGTCCGATACGAGGCTGTCGCACAACGGCATCCATTATGATTCATAATCGTAGGGTGGAAAAAGTGGCGTCGCGAATTACGCAAACGGAATCGACGAGTCCCATGACGAAAGAAGTTGCGTAAAACGAATACTAGGCTGCCACATCGAGGCAACTGGGAAATAAAAGTTCTCCGCTCGAGGCTCAAAAATCTTGACAATTTTAGAAAAAAATATTTACGTCAATCTAAAGATGAGCCTCTTAGGAGCGAAACTGAGATCAACTCAACATTTTGTAAATTCCTTAATTTCCGTACGATATAAAACGTTTAGACACAGTGTAAGTGAAATTAGGAGTTGAACAATCTGTCTAAATTGAGAGTCATTACTGTGTGATGGCTCAGTAATTATATTATCAATTATTATTAGTGTTATTACTATTCATTATTATTCAGTGCTCTCAATATGCTCTTGTATTATTAATTATATTATTATTGTGCAAGAGTCCGTCAGTAATGATTCTCAATTTTGATAGTTTGGTAAACTCCCAACTTCATTGTGTCTAAACCGTATAGCAAGTCACTATAATCAATGCTCAATTTTCCAAAATTAAGAAATTTACGAAAAGTGGAGTTGATTAGTTCCGCCTTTGAGCGTGTGTCATAGCGAAACATAAGTTAATATTATAGACATACTATGAAGCATCATTTAGGAATATTATCATTATCCCGAGAGCGAAATGACTCCACTCGTAAATTCACGATGAATTTTCGCGGACTATAATATTAACTCACGCGAAAATGATTACTATATGAAGAGAGAAAAAGAAAGAGTCAGAGAGAGAGAGGGAGAGAGAGAGAGGGGGGGGGGAAGAGGAGGAGGAGAGAAAGTTTCAGAAGTTCCGCGGCACTTACACGCGAGATTCAAAATTCAGACATTAATGTCATTAACGCCTCCATAAGAAATTCCGCGGGATTTCGGGATCCGCATGCAAATTTGATGGTAATGCGGCGCACGAGTCGCCCGCATCACAAAATTTCAAATGTGACGCGCTTGCGACGGGGACCGCCTTTTATTTTACATTGACTAATGCGAGATTTTACGAATCATATACGCGACCCATTACGAGCCATGATTATTACAAGGTGGACAATATGAATAATGCATCGCGCGAGGATAAACATCGCGCGATCTATAGAAAATTAAAGCTCTCGCTGGGGGTTTTGCCGATAACGACAGATTGCGCCGAATTATGCCTCATTTTTCCGGCAAGACCCAACGCCACGTTTGTTCGGCAAGGGGCATGAATAATGGATTATATAAATAAAAATGGAGGGAACAATGCCGATGGAACGAATTCCTCGGTCTCTATTTTGCGGGATCGCATTCGACCTTTTATTTTTCCCGTGGACTCGCCGACTTATCGACTCGCGCATTATAGCGATTCGTATTGTGTAAATTATTGCCAATATAATCCGCGTGAATAATGCATCGCATGAATAAAAAACATTCGCAAGTAAGTCTTACACTTCGACTGTTAACTCTACTTCTCATACACACTCTTTCTTTCTTTCCCTATCTTCCTTTCTCTCTCTTACTTCAAGGATATACACAAAGTAAAGAAGATTTGCACAGTTTATTCTCTTTAATTTTCTATAATCCTGTAATTTTTTAATGTGTTATTATGTCATTATTAAGTGCATCTTAAAATACAAATACAGGAGTAGCACAGTATCTCTGTTCCACTTCAATTATTTTTATTATTTTAAGCAATATAGGAAAATAATACCTATAAAATTTTAATATTTTAATATTTCCAAAGAAACGTAACATAGTAATAATAATTCTTTTGTGAGTGAAGGAAGATACGTAGGGCGGAGACTTGCCTTTAGTTTATATGGTTTTTCTAATCAATTTTTCTGATCATTCCACGTACAAGAGTACTGCGGCACGAAAAAGTGACTCTACGACAAACTGTAATCAATAAATTAATATCGAAGATGTGGGAGCAAGGGAATTTATCAAGTATTGAACAAACAATCGTAAAGTTTCTATAAAGAAAACTGTAGAATGTACACATTTTCCATCGAAAATTTCGAAATATATCCTTCTGATTGACAGAAGCCGCGGTCGGAGAGGCGCAAATGATCGGAATCATCGAAAATCACACATTATATCTGATATATTGTTGAATTAAATTAAAATACAGCAGGTACAAATTAAAATTATATGTCTGACCTGTCGCACATCTACGATTAACTGTATGATAATAACGCATAACCAACCACCTCGATTATCACTGATCCGGTTATCATTAATTTAAATTTAAACCAATATTGAAAATCTCGATTAACCACGCACGGTTAGCATCGGGGCGTAAATGACGTACAATTAACGATTAATTATCGGCGATAGTAATTGAACAATTATTTTCTCGTCGAGCGGTGGAAAGGCGAGAATCGCCGGCCATCCGCGATCGTTCACTCACTCACCTAATTCCGGACCGCAGACCCTCGGTATAATCTCCAAAATTGCGCTGCACGACGGGTCCTCGAAGCACAACTGACGGGCGTAGAGGCAATTCAGGATCGCCATCGGCACCTTGATGCCGGATCCTGAAACAGAATCAACGCGGGTACATGTTAAAAAATTAAAAAAGAAATGAGAAACGCCTGCGCGCATAAAGAATGCGCCTTTAACATTTTTCCCGCGCCGCAGCGCGAGGGGCGGGCGAGATTAAAGCCGGACGTTAAACGGGCGGGAAAAGGAGGAGAGAAAAAAGGGAATTCCATTGAGATCGGTTCGTCGGCACCGAAAAATTCGGGAAATTCGTCGTTATTACGGCGAATTACCGCGCGACGAAACGCCGGTCGAAAGACGGCGTGGGGGATCGGGAGGATATATACGTGAATGTGTGTCTTTGTGTGCGTATGTATGAATGCACGTGTGTGTGTAGGTTTGTGTGTGTGTGTGCGCGCAGTGATTTAATATCCCCGCGATAAAGCGTTTCCGTTATTTATAACCGCCCGACGTGGAGCTCTCCGACGACGACAAATTATATTTCATTAAGCGAGCACGGATAGTTTGAATGCGAATGAAAGGGTGCGAATAAAATGGGCGCACTCGCCGGTACTCGTAAATCAGAACAAATTAATTGTTACGTCAGAATAAAAGTTTTTTTTGACGAGAAACAGCGCACGATTTAGGACGAGGTCCTTGCGCGAAAGCGCAACATCAGTCGGCGCGATAATCAAATTCGTGAAACGAAATGCTTGTACCACAAATTGCGATCTATTCCGAGGAATGAGAGATACTAATCGTTCAAATGGAATATTATCACTTGGAACACACTTTGGACGCTTTCTTTTGATTCGCGAAACCATTAATCGATTCATATTCCTCAACATTATCTACATCGATTTAAAAAAAGCATTACAAGTTTCGGTTATTTTTTCGGAAGTTATGAGCAAATGTGCCGGATAAAATTTGGAGTTTTTGTAACTGTCTGATGTTTAGGGTTAGGCTCCTGTGAAATTCTTCATAACGCTTCCGAATCTCTGCGAATTTTCCGATTTTCGATGCCTGTCATTCACACGTGAAATTGATGGCGACCGAATACAAGCATCATATTTTGTCGGTTGTTCCATTTTTTTTCGCGACCGCAAACTCACATGAATTGCCGGACATATGAGTGTGAAGCGCAAATTGCATCGCCGTTAATGCACCGATAAAGCTGTGTATCGGGGCTATTCGGTTAATCAAACGACGCGCGATCGGTGGCGGATAAAAGAGCACGACTTTTTTATTTCACCGATTTATGATTTGATATTCTGTCCGAAATGATACCTTTTTTACTCAATTAAAAATCGTTGTATTTTTCTACATAGGGGAATATATTACAGTTTTTTTTTTTCATATAAATTCTTTTGACTTTTACTGTGTTTTTAGTAACGCAGCAATAGACTGCGTAATGTTTATCTTGTTAAGGAACGCAGCAAATTTTGTGTAATGGCACATTCTAATTTCTCAAACACCACATATAAAATAATAGTTACTGCAGAATATCAATCTATTGATATTTCTCGGTTATAAAATCCTACAGTAATTTTTATTATAAAATTCCCTCTACGCATATTATTCGGCTATCATCAGATATTGCGATATTACGATTCATTATCAACCGTGGTATTTGTGGTAGAAATTTAATGCAGTTTTCGACCAGCTATTGGACAATTGCGTTAATTTTTGTCAAATAACTGATCTCCAAATTTAGACTTATATTGTTTGACCTAAATCGCGGATAAATTAGGAATAGCACTGAATAGCAGGAGGGAACATGGGGATATAAAGACTTAACAGAGAAAGTCAATTATATTTCTCTCTGAAGAATGTGCTGCTCTCTTGTTCGCAGCAAAGATATCGAGTGTCAAATAATATCTCGCTCAAACTCCGTTTGTACGTACAGCGTATCACCAGTACGTGGTGTCGAGAATCGAGTCGCCACCGTGGAAATGTCTTTTCGCATTATTGCGTGTATCGGAAATGTCATTGCCGGCGGGATTACATCCCGCGGGATGAACGTACCAGCGCACTGTTGCTAGAATAGAAGAAGATCGCGAGAGCATCGCTTACCTTATATCACAATACGTTGCGCAACGTACAAATTTGTTTCGCGTTTGATGCATCGCGCAATGACGTATTGCAAATACAAATCCTTTCATCTCTCTCTCCTTCTCTCTCTCTCTCTCTCTCTCTCTCTCTCTCTCTCTGTCTCCCTCCCTTAACTCTCTTTCGGCAACGGCGAAATTCTCAAAGATGTAGGAGCACTTTCGGAAATGGCCGTCGTCAAAGGCTTTATTCGGCGCTCGCGATTGCAGAAATCCGTCTATTTCGGCGACGAGCGAGGAAATGGGGCATTGTGACCCCGGCTTCCTCGAAATGTCATCCACTGCTCGTCAAAATCTCGCGCCTGCCGCGACGCGCATCGATCGTACCATATTTAAATGTATGAATATTTCCGCGCGTCGTTAAATCTCTCGAATCTCTCAAATATGACACATTCCCGTCCTCCCGTCCCTCCTGCTCGTTCCCTTCGCTGCCTATGTAGCTCTTAATATACTTAAACATAACATTCGATTCCGCAACAGTGTTGATCAAGTATGCGCAACCCGTACATACTTACGAGCGTACCTCTCAATTTTCCACCTCGGCGCTACGTCGCACTCATAAACGAGGGACGTCATTCCGATCGGACGCATTAACATTAACTGTTCCGCTTATATTCGAGCGCATATTGAGAAGTTCATTCACCAGATATGTATTTTGAGGGCGTCGAAAGGACGCGTTTTCAGTGGCGCATCAAGGTAGCTACTCATAAATTCACTCTTTACTCGAACAAAATTATGCATTTTTATATATATTTATTTTATTATATAATAATATATAACGCTATATAATATAAATTTATACATTTATTTTACTATATAAATAATGTTAATTTAAGACTAATATATTATGGTAGCACCTTACTACGTTTCACACAGCACAGTGCCACTCAATGCATAAAACAGCAGTTTCAGGCCTACAATCGACCATTACACAAAAAATAGTATAATGAATATGATTTTTTCTTCTATGCCGCGTTTTCTAATATGTAACGTTTATAATAGCAAATTTCCTTTTTCATTTCGATTTTTTACGCAATTACACTGTAATAATATAGAGCTGTTAATAGTTGTGTTAATAGTCGTTAAATATTCGTTAATTCGTTATCGTTAATAGAGGAGAGAGTAGAGTCGTATGCTAATAGTCGTTATTTGAAACTTGCTTCATGTGTGAGATATTCAGATTTTTATTTGGAGTTAGATCTAAGTCTTTCATTTGAATTATAATGTATGTGACATTTCCTTTGACTTTAAACTACTTATCGATAACTTCAATTAAAAAAAAATAATTTAAGATTTAGAGTGCCACCAACTGGAGGCAAAAAATTGTGAGAACTTGGCCGCTCTCTTTTTATATAATTTTAGGTATTTTAGTAAATTTAAGTGAATAATAAACTCCTTAACATCGGCTGCTCTACGTCAACTACCACCGCCATAAATTCTCCCCTTATTCACGCGGGACGATCGGAAAAATCCCGCTGTCACAGTGGCGCGTCGGAGCGAATGCACGCTCGAGTGCGGCCACGAGGTGACTGCGCCTCGTATAGAGAATTTTTTATAGCCCCTCGCCAGTCGTCCTCCACCAACCTCCGATCCTTCTCCACTACCGCCTCCTCGCCCAGCGTCGCTCTTCCGAACATTTCGTAATTAATTACAGCACGGGCAGGAGAGGGAACAGTGCGCTCTCTTCTTTTATCGACTTCCGTTTCGCGAGTGGCTCGTAAAAATCCGCGTGCTCGGTTTTTCAGTGTCTCCGTTTCGCACTCGTTCGCACACCACTCACTCACTCATTCACTCTTCGGCGCGCGTCAGTTTCGTTTCGTTCTTTCTCGGTTTTCCTGTATGTGCTTTCCTATCTCGCGCTTATCGCGAAAAATCTCAGACTGACTGTACCGCGACGAGGGACAGGCAAATAACTGCGAACGAGCTGTTAAACTCGAGGAGCGAAACGACGAGGAACCGCGCTGAGAGACGCGTGCTAGCCGGTGTTGTTCTCTTCCGTTGTCCTATCCTCGTTGGGAAGTCACGACGGATGAGAATATTGTTTCAAATTTTGTATAATGGAAGTTTTATTCTTCTCATAGAGAGAGAGAGAGAGAGAGAGAGAGAGAGAGAGAGAGAGAGAGAGAGAGTATATAAATTAGAAAAAAACATTCTAAATTCTGATATATTGCATATATTGTCAAAATAGAAAAGTACATTTTACGTTCTACAATGCGCTTTACATGGAGAAAATATTGTAGTAAAATTAAAATTATATTTCTTTTTACAATGTTTTGCAAGTTGAAATGATATGATATAAATTACTATAGAAATAATAAATTTAACGATCTATCTGTATATGTAAATGTGTAGTGATATACGATTTAAACACATCCAACTACAATACAATTATAATAATTTTGTAATAAAAGATTAAACGTGCAGGTTTAATATTAGATTTTATTTACTCAATTGGAATAATATTACTAACAATCTTTCTAGCAATTTTTAATAATCTTATTTCTATAGATTCCTAAATTTCTAACAATTTTAAACAAATATAATTTAACATTTTTAAACAAACGTATTGAAAAATTGCTACTCATCTAAATAATTTATTTTATTTAAAAAAAATATATAGGGTGAACCAAAACTTCCAAAATCCTTGGAATATTTCGAAAAAAATGACTTTCATATAAAAAATATATAGAGTGTCAGATAAAAACTGTATTAGTTGTAGAGTTTAAAAATTTACTGATCTTATCAGTTTGACCTTGATCAGTTTGTGACCAAGAACAGACCAAGGTCAAATTTTTTTTAAATAGAACCTTCTATTGTTTTTATATATTCTTACAGCCCTTCTTTCCAAATATATATATATATATATATATATATATATATATATATAT